CAAAGCAAGTGCTCTTCCAAAGCAAGCTTACTGTTTTGTATTTGGGATAGATACCCAGTGAAGGCTTCCCTGAATGCACACCCGGTGTACACCCCTCCCTCACTGCGTCTAGATTGACCATATGACTTTCTTGGACACATAAAATTCTGTGGCTGTGATGTTGGGCTGGTTCTGGGCCTTGGCCATGAGAGTCCTTGCAGTGTTTTCTTCTACTCTCTTGCTGTCTTGAATGTCGTGCAAGAAGGCCTTCGCCAGCTTCCTCTAGGATGCAACTTCTTGGGGGAAGAGAAATGAAATATGAGGAGGGGAAGAAGGACATCTAGCTTCTGGCTAGCTGCCGTCATCCTGGCTGAAGTACCAGACTAGGGATGAGGGCATCTTGGATTTTCCAGGCCCGGTGGAACCATGAGCTGATTGTGGAATGGTGATAAGTCACGTTCCTTAGCCTGGAATAGATTGCAGACTTGTGAACAATGAAATGGTTGCTGTTGTCCTAAGCTACCAAGTTTGGAGGTATTTCTTACCCAGCAATAGGTAGTTGATACAGCATTATAAATCATCTCTCTGTGTGTGTGCCAAAGAGGATGTCATTAGTTGGCTTACCATTTCTTAAACATGCTTCCTTCACATGTTCACACCTTCTATGCCCCCATGCTCATGTTCCTCAAATGTGGAAATTGAACTTGGAAAAATGGATTTTTCTCTTTTATCTACCAATATACAGCCAATCTGTCTTCTCTGATATGCCAACTAGAATTGATCCTTCTTTTTCTGAACTCTATTTTATTATTTTTTAAAGATTTTATTTATTTATTTGACAGAGACACAGTGAGAGAGGGAACACAAGCAGGGGGAGTGGGAGAGGGAGAAGCAGGCTCCCCACAGAGCGGGGAGCCCGACGCAGGGCTCGATCCCAGGACCCTGGGATCATGACCTGAGCCGAAGGCAGATGCTTAACGACTGAGCCACCCAGGTGCCCCTCTTTTTCTGAACTCTTCTGGTGCCTATTGCTTTTTGGCATAGCCTGTCTTCTTACATATGTCTTCTCACTACAGTTACATTTTAAACTCCTCATGACAGGTTCTATTTTTTGGAAACATCTTTATTGAGATATAGTTCACATTTGAAGCACACAAGTCAATAGGTTTTATTATATTTGAAGAGTTGTGCAGCTATTCCCACAGTCTAAGTTTGGAATACTTTCATGACTCCCAAAAGAAACCCTATACTCATTAGCAGTCACTCCCCACTCCACCCAACCCCAGCCCAAGGCAACCACTAATCTACTTTTTGGTCTCTACAGATTTAGGATTTAAATTTTTTTTTTTTTTTTTTGGTCAAGTAGCCGAAGCGCAATTGTTCTGTGATGACTAATTGAGTGAAACCTAGAAAACGTTTATCTAAGACCACCAGGAATGACTATGCAGAGGTCCAATTTCAGGATCTGTGACAGGAGCAGAGAGAGGCATTTGTCGAGGAAGGTTGCCATGGCGCTTCATGTACTGCCCTGGATCTTCAGCTCTGTTACTTCGTCTTCAGAGATAACAGATTACACTGGAGAAGGGGCATGGTGGGATCTTGAGTCAAGCCTTGCCTCTGCTGGTTACTAGTTCTGAGGTCTGGGGCTAGTTACCCAGCTTCTCTGAACTTCAGTTTCCATGTGGGGTTAGTGTGGGGACCAGATGAGGTGACACCTCTGATTGAACCAAGAAAATTATTTCCCTTCTAACGTTTGTCCTGCTGAGTGCCTTTCACTGCACGGGGAGTCCTAGACAGAGAACTCGCTGGACAGACTTTTCATCAATCCCTTCCAAAGATAAGACTTTGGACTATGACTCTTCCTTTTCCTCTTCCCTCTACAGTGGCTTTTGGGGGCACACACGTGTAGGCAGCCATTTAGTTGCAGATTACTGGTCTTTTTATATAGATTGGCTGACATAGATTTGCTCACACAGAAGTCTGGCTAAGCATTATGGTGGTTTGGTTTCCCTTAGAGGAGGCAGGAGAGAAAGACAAATGCGGGCAAACCCAGGGTCAGGCTCCTCTGAACATGCTGGTGGACTTGATGTGCTCTGTTCTCTTGGTCTATCAACTTTAACAAAATTTACAATTGCTCCCCTCCCCCGCTGCAGGTTGCATCCTGAACTCCCATGGAGAGAACTGGAAGGGGGTTGTCGATTGCTCCGCATGACTGTCAATTACATTCCACTAACTTCCAGCTGGGCCATCTGCCCATCTGCTTTTTGCTGGCTTCCTGACGTGCAGGGTATACTGCACAAACAGAGCAGCTTCTCTACAGAGTGAGGGCATTCTTGGGACAGTGTCCACTGTGGTAGCAAAGGCAAGGAGGGATGCACCCTGGCAAAGACTGGGAGGTGGGGCTGTTCCTTTGCTTGGTCTTATGGGGGCAGAACTGGCCCATTTCCCTGGACCAGAGCCCTGATCTTTGTTTCCCTCTTTGGGGAAAGAAGACCAAGAAGGGGCTTCTGGCCCTCAGTTTTCTCCTAATCCCAAAGTCTCGTTAGACTTAGCTCTGCAGTCCTGTTCCCCCTGCCACTCCCCCACCCCCCCAAACCTGCTGGTGAAGTTCTGAATACTTTCCTGCACATTCTTGTGCACCCCCTGCCCAGCCCGTCTTCACTGAGCACCATGGCTGCTCATTGTAGCACCCCTCTTGCCCAAGTGATGAAGTATGGGCATGGGGCCTGGTGAGGCGTTAGGGAGTTTCAGATCATGGTTCCTTCTGCTGCTAAGACAATTTCCATCATCAGCATGGTGGCATCTGCAGGATTGAGGGTATCTGCCTGCTAATCTGGTTCTGTCTTTGGCCAGAAGAGCTTGAAATGAATTTTGTTAGCTTCTTTCTTCTCAGTCAGAGCCTGAGAGTGAGAGAGGAAGCTGTCCTGGGCGCCGACCCTGTGTCCCAGTTGCGGGAATAGGGGATGGGGATGTGAGGATGTGAGCAAAGACACGCAGGACAACCACTGTCCTATCCCTTGATTGTTCTCTCTCCCCCTCCTTTTCCCACTCTCCCGTACCCCACACTCATAAAAATAGGAAACGATGTCATCACATATGTGCATGCCTCCCCTTCGTGTGACGCCTCTGGGTCACCACTTCCTGTTTCTGAGTCATCAGGAAGGTAATTTCCCCCTGATGCTCAATATCCTCAGGGACACTCTGATCGCTCAGTATCTACCTACCCAGTTTCCCCTTCTTCTCTCCCTTCTTTAAAAACAACAACCGCCCCCCCCACAAAGAAAAAGGAAAAAGAAAAAAAAAACCTAAATACAGTACAGCTGCTGGTCTGAGCTGCTGCAAGCTCACAAAATTCATGGTGGATTACAACCTTCAGCCCCAATTTGGATGGATGGCTGAGTGCCTGGATTTAATTGGATAGTTAATTACAAGTGAAGATGACTCTTGAGTGCCTCTCCTTCTGCAACAAGATCTGTCCTAGATCTTGCCTATTAAGAGAAGGGGGGAAGTATTTGGCTGCCCCTCAAAATAAGGAATGAATCAAACTGCTGGAATAAGATAGCCCAGGAGGTATGGGATGGCACTGGAAGGATTTGTTAGAGTCAACTGAAGCAAATCTTCAAGGAGCTAGCTCCATAGACAAGCCCTCGCTGCAGGCTTCTCCCGTTTTCCTGTTTCCCTCCTCTCTCCCTTTCTAGTCCTCTCTCTCTTTCCCTCCCTTCCTCCTTCTCTCTTTTCCTTCTTTCCTCCCTCCTTCATTTCTTCCCTCCTTCCTCTTTAAATCCTGTGCTGCACTTGCTCTCTATTTTTCTCTTTCTCTCTGATTTTCGCAGGAGGGAAGTGACTAGTGGGACCATCGCTTTCCCAGTGAGTATCTACCACATGCCAACCACTTTGCTAGGCACCAGGCTCAGAGAGGGGTAAGAGACCCTTCTGACCTTCACGAATTTCACCGTTAGTGGAGATGTTTTATTCATCTGTGGATGGACCCTGAGGTTGTGAAATGATGTTTCAGATTTTATTTATTTTTATTTGAGAAAGAGAGCGAGTATGAGAGAGGGGCAGAGGGAGAAGCAGGCTCCCCGCTGAGCAGGGAGCCCCATGCAGGGCTGGATCCCAGGACCCAGCGATCATGACCTGAACTGAAGGCAGATGCTTAACCGACTGAACCACCCAAGCGCCCCTTGAAATGATGTTTTAAATAATTCACGGGCAAGATTAGAGGCTGAGAGCATGATGCGGATTTCAAAACTAGAAAAATGAAAGGAGACAAGGATCTTGAGTGCATTTTTGCTGGATTTGTCTGGATCAAGGACTGCAAAAAAGCCAGCGGTGGAATCGGGATGACCGAGGTAAGTTTGTAAGGGACCCCTAAGAGACTTCCTACCCAATACCCTCAATGTTCTGGGCAGAAGTAGTCAGGGAGGCGGGTGCACACAGGGCGCCTGGGGCGGGGTGAGAAAGGCGAAGGGCAGAGCTGGGGGGGGGGGGGGGGGCCTGCCATGCTTCGCTGGGAGACCAGCTCCATGGCCTGTGATTTCCTTCCGCCGGCTCCCAGAGGGCTTGCCACCCTCTTCCTAGCTTGTTTTCCTTGCTCTTCTGGCTCTGAAATGATGGTTGGGTCTGGAATGGAGGGACTTGAAAATCCGTGCATGGATAACGTGGAACACAGAAGAATCCAGAAAACCTGTCTGCCTGCCGCCCCCTTTCTCCCACTTCGTCCCCCCGCCCCCACCACGGCCTGGGCTTGGAGAACGACTACTGGCCCAGTCCTGGCGCCGCGTGGACACACAGAGGCTGCGGCACAGCTCCGAGCCTCGGTGTCTTCACGCACCAGGTAGAGACGATCGGAGGAGCTGTGGCCTGCGGTTGCATGACACAGATGGCGGCCACCCCAAGGGCCCAGACTGTGAGCCGCCGGGCCGCGTGGCAGGGCTCAGCGCTTCGCGGGACCGTCTCGCCACTGCCGGGTCGCGCTCCCGCCTCGTGCACTGGAGTTGCCCCCTGTCCACCGGATCCTAATCCCCTTCTAATCGTCCGTGGTGGTGAGAAGATATCGGGTGTCGGCAGCCTGGCCCGGTGAGCGTCCCTCCCGTTCTGTGTGAGTCTTCTGGGCACTGCAGGCCCGATACAATTTCACGTATTATTAGGGCTCATTCACTGGGGTTATTCGGGAAGCATGGGTTTGTGAGGCTTCTGGGAGCCTGGGCGGGAATTATGTAACCGCTTCGGTCTGGTGCACTGAAGCCGCTGCCTCCTACGGCCAGGGGCCCTAAGCTGGTGGAAAATGTGCTGGGAAAGCCGGGGAAATTGAGCTTCTTAGGTTCCCAGAGGAGAGAGAGAGAGAGAGAGAGAGAGAGAGCGAGAGCTTGGAGGCTCCCTTCTCTCCAGATACTCATATATTGACTGACCTTGGCTGTGAGCCCAGTGATGAGGAAAGTGGGGTGGAGACTAGTCAGAGGGGACTTTCTTAGTCCTGAGTCCTCGTGCTGGGGACAGGGGGCTTCAGAGGCCACTGGCTGTAAGGAAGAGGAGAGAAGAAGAAGAAAGGAGGGGGCAGAGGAGGAAAAAGAAAGACAGGGAAGGAGAACAGGCGGTGGGGGGTGGTGTTGGGAGAAAGACAAAGTCCCCAAGGGTACACCGAATGCCTTCTTTTCTTCAGATGCCCCTGCTTCCCAAAACTTTCCCTCCCTGACGTTATTCTGCTCCTCGCCCATCCAGTGCCCCTTTGGGGGCACTGTAGCTTCTGAAAGTCTCAGTTCCTACAGTAGAGATTTTGAGATAAGGACCTGGGGGAAGGGAAAAGTGACAAGAGGTAGCCTCTTGAGCTGGTGGGGTGGCTGCCTGAGCTCCCACTTTCACAGAGCAGAGGCAAGCCCCTCTTCCTCGACTGTGGCCGACTGTAGGGTCTAGAAGTCGATCCTCTACAGATTACTGAGGAGGCCGGAAGCTCTTCTACCATGTCATCTTTCTTAAGCTCTCTTCTGTCCTTTGAGGTAGGTGTAATTATGCCCATTTTATAGGTGAGTAGTGTGAGGCTTGGAGAGGCTAAGTGGCATGCTCTAAGGTCACCTGGCTGTTAAGGGGGAAAGCTGCTTCTTAGCTCCAGTTCTTCCTGGCTCCAAAGCCATTCCTTATGGTGCATTATATAACCTAAATGTTTTGTGGATTCGGTCTCCAGAATATGTCCTGATTCTGTGCACCTGTTTTCATGGCCACTCATATATCCAGGCCAGGTCTCCATCATCTCTTACCCTCCAACCTGCAGTAGGTTTTTTACTGGCCTTCTTGTTTCTGCTTTTGTCTCATTCCAGTGAATTTTTCACAGAGCCACTAGAGAAATAATTCTAAAAGATAAATTGGTTCGTGTCATGGTTGCACATAAAAACTCTTCAAGTCCTTCCCAGTGTGGTTGGACTAAAATCTGGATTTCTTAACATACCCACAGGGCCTGCAAAAACTGCCTCAGCTGTCTTGGGGGGTCTAAAACTCATTGCAGTTTCACTAGTACCACCCTCTTCTTTCCTCAGCAGGTTCTAGTCACTCTGAGCGTTGGGCTCTTTTCTGCCTCAGGACCTTAGCACATGCTGCTTTTTCAGAATGGAATGATGTTGCCCTCAGTCTTTATCTGGCTAATTTTTTTTTTCATCCTGTAGGTCTCAGCTTACATCTCACTTCCTTATAGAGCAGAGACCTCCGCCAGATTCCTAACCTAGGTTAAACTATCCTTTTTTTTTTTTTTTTTTAAGATTTTATTTATTTGACAGAGAGACACAGCGAGAGAGGGAACACAAGCAGGGCAAGTGGGAGAGGGAGAAGCAGGCCTCCTGCCGAGCAGGGAGCCCAATGTGGAGCTCAATTCCAGGACCCTGGGATCATGACCTGAGCTGAAGGCAGACGCTTAACAACTGAGCCACCCAGGCGCCCTAAGTTAAATCATCCTTGTGTTTGGAACTTCTCAGTAGGCAAAGAAGGAAACACGATGAGTTACAAAGATCTCATTGTTGGAAAAGAAAGAAAATGCTAGTTCTTCAAGAGTGACAGTGCCCTTTAGCTCTGAATTCAACAGGAAATTTCCTTCATGGCGTCTTCCATGGGAGTCATGAACTAATGTAAATGGCAGATTGTCCTCAACGTTAATCATATGATGAAGGGTAGACTGGATGGACAGAAAATACTAGTAGGTCCCAGTCCTGGGGAAGGACTTGGCCAGGGAAGCCTTCACAAAGGAGGTAGGTAAGACCTTTCCTTTGTGGATGGGAAAGACTTGGAAAGGTTTGAGGAGCAGACAGCCTAGGCAGGGCTTGATGAGGTGTGGGGAGAAAAGCATGTGAAAGAACCTAACACGTAGCCCAGAAGGTGCCTGGTAGATCCTAGTTTTAAGTTGTGATTCTCCTAGTCCCCGGAGGCTACGGTTTGTTTCAGTAATGCACGCCTCTGCTGTGGTATCCAGTGCGGCTTTTAAGCTAATCCACAAAGGGGCTGATCCCTGCCGGCCCCCTGCGCCCACTTCCCCCCAGACCTTTTACCAGCTCTGCCCGGGGAAGGCCGGGACTAGGGGCGGTGAGTGAGGCACCCAGGGCACTTGGGGGCTGAGCTGAGTGACGGCCTACCTAAATGTTTTGCCCTGGGTGCAACTGAGCCCTCGGACACCAGCTCCCGTCGGCCAGTGTCAGACTGGAGCCAATGGGGTTATCACCCATGATGCTGAAAAAAGCAACTGAGAGCCTCGGTTCAAGTGTGAGGGGAGGAAGTGGGGGAGTGGCAATAGAAAGAGACGGGGAGCTGGACACAGTTATTCAGCAGTCTTTTCCAAAAACATCTGACTTAGTTTCTTTACATTGTCAAGAAGGCTTTTAAAGCCCAGCTGCCTCTTATTAATCCTGTTTGGGCTGATTCCCTTCCCGCCAACCTTGCTCTCGGGCTGTGCCAGCATAAACGGCCCGGCGGAAGTGGAGGGCACGTTGAGTGACGTCAGTGGCTGGGTCTGCGTTTCAGATCTCAGCCCAAGCAGCTGAGAACACAGCGCCTTGGGCCCCTTCCAGTGAGAATGTAAAATACTCTGCCCACCATCCTAGAAGGCGCACAGGGCTTTGGGGGGACCCAGAGGATGGAAGGGAGAGTGGGAGGTGTCTACACTGTGTGACTTGGGAGGTGGCCGTGGCCCTGTAGACCCCAGGTCTTGGATATGGCTTAGCAAGAGGTGGGGAAAGGAGCACGGGTTGTGGGGATCGCAGATCCTTGAGTTTGAATGCGGGCATTCACTAATGGTAGGTCCTTGGCCAGGTTAACTCATACCTTTGAACTGGGTTTCCTCAATAGTAAGATGTGAATGATGACAACAGTGCCCACCTAAGAGGGTTGTTCTTGGGATTAAAGTACGATTCCTTACGTAAAGGGCCCAGTTCAGACAGGTTCTGGTGCATCGTAGTTGTTCAGTAAATGTTTCTTTCCCTCCCTCCCTCCCTTCTTTCCTCCTTCTGTTCCCTCTTCCTCTCTCCCGCCTCACCTTCTTCTCCTTCGGAGAAAGCTAACCCCTAACTGTCTGTAGGGGAGAAATCAATAAGGAACACAGCCTTTCTAGTTGTGCAAGTACTGAAAAGCTTAAGAATCAGAGGCAACAGGTCCTTGTAAAAGCTGAGGCACCAGGAAGGGGCACACGCAGAAAGGCTGGGGGCAAGTTTGCATAAAGAACACATAGACACTCTTATTTGCTCTGTCTTCAGGTAGCCAAGCAACTGCCCCTCTACCTGCTTCCTTCCCCTCTTCCCCCAGGACTGGAGATGTATTCTGGCATTTAGGTAGTGTGCTGAAAGTGGGCACGAACTGAAACTCTGCACACCGAACTGTGAGATTCTCATAATCCCTTCTGCTGCTGAGCCCAGTCAATTCAGGTAGCCCACTAAGAAGATTGGAGATTGTATTCTGGGAAAATTGGTCTGCTCCAGACGGAATAGACCAAACAGAATAGATAGATCTGACCCCCTCCTCAAACTCTGGTGAAGCTCATCAGGTAATTAGCCCTGCCCATGCATGAAAAACCTCTCATATTGAATATTAGTCATATTCATGACTAGTGGTGAGTTCCTCACCACTAGTCATGAAAAGAAGAAGATAAGAATCACCAAAGGTTTGAGGCAAGATTAAAATATGTAAGATGGAGACCCTGACAAATAAAAAAAAAGTGGGGACAATGTAGGGGATATAATAAAAATTCAAAATACAATGATCAATGTCATCAAGAGATAAGAGGAAATATGTCTATGAAGAAAGAATGGAGTGTTAGACAAAGAAACATTCAGAGAATGGAAAAGGACCTTTGACAATTACAGTACAATAGCAGAACTTATAAAAGTCTGTAGATAATGTTGAGGACACCTTCCAGAACATAGAGATAAAGGAGAAAATTGTGGAAAATAGAAGAGATGGGGAAATTAGGGATTAGTCCACAGGTCCAGTACCTGACTATTAGGAGCTACAGAAAGAGAGAAAAAAGAAAATAGAGGGGGTTCGTTATAGAAAAAAAAGGGAACAAAATTTCCAAAGCTTCTGAAGTTTTGCATTTCCAGTCCAAAGGGGCCCCATGGGTGTAACTCATATAAAGCAGTCGTCACGCAAGGCACAAGATTGTGAAATGTCAGGACTTTACGGATCAAGAGAAGTTTGTAGAGGCTATCAGAGAGGAAGAAAGCTGGTCTCATACAGAGGACATAAGACTTCTCAAGAGTTTGGAGGCAGTGTAGCAGTGCCTTCAACAGCTTGAGGGAAAATGATTTCCAATCTAGAACCTGAGAACATCACCCTCAAGAGTAAAGGCAGGTCTCAAAAAATGTGCCTTCCTGCACCCTTTTTGATAGAGCTACTGTAGGATGTGCTCCACCAAAACTAGGATGTAAACAAGAAATAGGAAGACATCAAGTCTAGGAGTCAGGGACGATAAAACTGAGGGAAGGCAAGGAAATTAGTAGGGACGATGATGAAGGGAAGCCCAGGACAGCAGCGGGACAGTGGCCTGGAGTGCAGTCCTTTCATCCAGGATTCTCTTAGGGTAAATAGCAAGGGTTAGATTTCCTGATGTG